ACCTTGACTTTTTCAAAACACACACCCCTGCCTCGACCCCACCTCCTACCCTTACTGTAAACCAACTCTTCTCTGTTTTCTCTAACACCTGTTCCTCAATCTATCATACCCCCACTACCACCTCCACCACCATCACCACTACCGCCGCCACCACCTACCTATCTATCTCTCTTCTTTAGTCATCTTCTCAGTTATTTAGAACAAAGCCACAGCCCCAGGCACGCTGTCCTCGAGACCACCCTGTTAACTCACACTTCTATTCTCTCGCTAGTCAGTTCCTTAATTGTTAGCTCACCTTTTACAATATTTATTAAGCATCATCATCATCAATATCATCACCATCATCACCATCATCACCATCATCACCATCATCATCATTATCATTATCATCATCATCACCTTCATCATCCTCATCATTATCATTATCATCATCATCACCTTCATCATCATCAGGGTGTTTTGGTCTGACTATAGCCTTATTACCTCCAAGTTCAAGTGTTGCAGTTGTTGTCCCCGTACCTCTTTCTTCTGGGTGTTGGCCTCTATATCCATTAGGTCCTAAAATGTTCAGGTTCAGGGTCTTGATGCCCTGGCTAATGACATTATTAGCCTAGTATCGTATACCTTGATGCACACACACACACACACACATTTAAAAAGAATAATGTATCTCATGGAACTGACGGTGTATTAGGACAAGGATTCTATACTGTAGAAGGATGACTCACTCAATGTTAATCTTTTTAATCGTCCTGCAACGATGGAGCCCACAAGCGGCCGCTGGGTTTAAAAAACATTAAGCTGTTGCGCCTTACTTAATGTTGTGCGGTCAATCAATCAGAGTAAAGTTCTCGGGCTGTTGTTACCAAACTTTTAAGGCTTTGTACAAAACAAAGCAAAAAATATATATTGCGCGGTAATACCAGCTTATTCAATAAAAACAATTTATATATAGTCAGTAGGTTATTGGCGTGCAACATTGATTATTTTACAGTAAAAGTTAATTATTTGCCTATATAAGGGACTGCATTCCATTCTGTTCTTCAGTAAGAGTTATGGTGGGACTGTAGCTGCACCATTTAATGTGAAATAAAAATATTGCAGACAGTTAACCGATGCACATTATTGTAGGTTTTTTAACAGGCTAATATTTTAGTAGTGATATAAAGAACATCACGGCATTTACAAGTTGGTAAGAGAGTTAGAGGAGACACCACCTTTTCACATCTCAGTGTGTGCTCGCCAATTTATTGATGATCAACTATTTTTTAATATAGCTGCACAGCAATTGCATCCCATTGCAGATGGTAAAAAAAGTGTGCAAGAAAAAAAACATGAATTCGCCGAAATGTGCGTCTCCCGCCCTTTAATCTTCGCCTGCCAACCACGTTGTATACATAGCAGCCTCTTGCCTGCACCACACTCAAGGGTAACCCAGTTCGCCCATTGGCGTGAGCCATCTTCCTAGAGTATAGAAGTCTTGGCTAGGGGCAGTGCGATTACAGCTCAGTCAATAACAAGATTCAATAAACAAGAAAGCAATTTTGCTGACAGTGAAGTCGACCACCTTCACTCTCCCAACAATCAGGTGCCCATCCACATCTGGGTCGACTGGGAATGCCCTGAGTAGGAGCCAGCGAACCTTAAGAGAGGATGTGAGTTCTGTTTTTCACTTGCCCGCAGCACCCAATATATATATATATATATATATATATATATATATATATATATATATATATATATATATATATATATATATATATATATATATATATATATATATATATATATATATATATATATATATATATATAAAACCAAGAAGTCTGTCTGTCTGTTTATTTATTTGTTTGTTTGTGTCTGCACGAGAATCTTTGAAACTACTTTACCGATCTGTAGTGATGATGAGAATGAGGAACCTGTTTGCCATCATGATTGCTACATGTGGACTTTCCAACCCAAGCCAGCTCTGGAAAAACCACCAAGAAAGTCTTTCAGAGGATCTGCTTCATCAAGCAAGAAGAGAACATCCCATCCTGGTCAAGAGATGATGATGGTAATGATTATGCTGATGATGATAGCAATCAGTACGTGACCGTGTGGACTAGTTGTTATATGCAAGTTTAAAGTTGCCAAGAGTGGGACGATTGTGATGAGACGGACCAGGAGGGAGTACCAATATCGTTCCATGTTCACAGATGAGGTAATGGGTGGGATTTAAACATGACTCATTAATATCATCATCACTACCGACATCACCACTATCATCATCACCATCACTATCATCATCATCACTACCATCATCATCACTATCATCATCATCACTATCATCATCACTACTATCATCATCACTACTATCATCATCACTACTATCATCATCACTATCATCATCACTACTATCATCATCACTACTACCATCATCACTACTATCATCATCACTACCATCATCATCACTATCATCATCACTACTATCATCATCACTACTATCATCATCACTACTATCATCATCACTACTATCATCATCACTATCATCATCACTACTATCATCATCACTACTACCATCATCACTACCATCATCATCACTACCATCATCATCACTATCATCATCACTACTATCATCATCACTACTATCATCATCACTACTATCATCATCACCATCACTACCATCATCATCACTATCATCATCACTACCATCATCACTACCATCAACAACCTCATCAGTACCATCATCATGATAATCATTACCATCATCATTACTACCATCATCATCACTACCATCTTCAGCATAATCATTACCACCATCATCACTACCATCATCAACCTCATCACTATCAGATATCATCATCATATTCCAGCCTCTTACTACAAAAAAACAACAATAAAACAAAAACTATGGCCTCACAACGATCGAACAAGAAAAATCTCTTCCATTATGAATTCCTGCGCGAAACGTATCGTAGAAACCCGTCAAGCTGCCGCTCTGGCCGGGCGTCAAGGAGCTAGGCGATGGAACAAACGCAACCCTGGTCCAAAACGTGTAGAGGAAAATAATCTGAATACATCTGCCGTAAATTCCCGCGTGAGACGTCTTGTCGAAACCCGCCAAATGGCCGCATTAGTCGAACGTCAAGACACTCGCGCGAAGGTTAATGGTTGTGTAATTCGCCCCCTATCATCTGAACACATAGAAAATATTATAGCCAACAAAGCTATTACGCGTCTGGGCTCCGGCGTGGCTGGGCAATGCTGGCGCGTCACTGATGATCAGACGGATCTAGTTGTAAAGAAATTTATCGGCGAATGTGCATCCGAAAGCCTCATTAAAGAGGTAAAATTCTTACGCGCCTGTCAAGGCCTTGAAGGTGTCCAAAAGGCAGTTGGCTTTGCCATTCCTCAAAGGTGCGTGTTTACAGAGTACAGTGGATTGACTCTGTATGCTTACGCCAAAGAGCATGATTCCACCGATGAGGTGATAACCCAAATCCTGCTCACACTCTGTAAAGTCGTACAGAGTCTCCTTACTCGAGGAATCGCACACAATGATATAAAATCCGACAATGTCTGCCTTCACACCGGGGACGACGGGCACCACGTGACCCTCATCGACTTCGGGATGGCTACGCTCGTCAATTAACCATTATGCGAAAATCCATTACCCGCTGATATCCAGAAGCGGGCATACTGGATGGCACCGGAGGTTCTGAACGGGGAAAATAGCACCACCACCAGCGACATCTACAGCTTAGGAATACTATTTCAGAAGTTTGCTGATTTGTGGGAGTACCCTGAAGAAGTCGTCCAGTGGGTGCACTCAGCCCAAAGCAGGGACCCCATCTGCCGCCCCAGCCTCCAGAACTTAATAGACATTCTTGAGCCCAAATTATCCCAGTGAAAATTTTCCCAGTCAGAACCCTCCCAGCTAAAACGGACATCAAAATCGACTTCTAAGAAAAAAAAAAAGGATGTAGATCAACCAAATAAAATGATTATTATTATTATTATTATTATTATTATTATTATTATTATTATTATTATTATTATTATTATTATTATTATTATTATTATTATTATTATTATTATTCCTTAGGCCTACGTGACATATTTTCCACCTACTAATAACTTTCTTGGGACACCCGTAACATTATTCAAGCTGATAAACGTTCTATAATAATTTCAAATTCAATAATAGTCCCTTAACTTCATGAATCCCATCATTATTAATTCGGTAAACTACATTTAATATCGTATAGGCCTAGTTCCACAAACTCTCGCTACGTGCAGGAGCGCGGTCTTCCCTCAGACGACCTTGAACTCAGTATCGCCAATGGCGCGGCGTTTGAAATTACACTGAAATTTCTGAATATTGTATATATATATATATATATATATATATATAGATACTGTAAATGTGAGCATAATGTAAGCTAATGCCATAAAGCTCCATTTGACTAAATAGAAATTATGTAAGTTGACAAAATGTGTAGGTGATAAGAGAACATTTATTATGAAGTGTTTCATGTGAATTATTATTATTTAATTCCTTTCATGATAATTATACATTAATTTTAATTGTTTACATATTTGTAGCCTTCAGTAGGATCAGAATATTATTATATATGATTTTATCATCGGTGGCTTGTGTTAACTGATGAGTTATTTATGTGTGTAAGAATGACGGAATATACACACAGTATCTGACAATTGTAAACAGCAATAGTCGTAGTAGTAGAGTAGTAGTATTAGTAGTAGTAATGCAGTAATAATAGTAATAGTATAATAATAGTGGTCGTAGTAGTATTAATAATAATAGTATAGTAATAGCAGTAGCAGTAATAAAAGCAGTACCAGTATAGTAATAGTACCTGCAATAGTAGTCGTATATCAGTAAGAAGTAGCAGCAGTAAGAATCCTACCAGGTGCACTACATATGACGTATAACACAGTATATATAACGCATATTATTATGATATATGTCCTATTGTCCTTCCTTCCCTCAACAGCGAGACCTGCTTCAGCCGTGATCAAGCCTCCTGGAGAACCTCTGGTGGAGGGACGACAGACGCGACTGGAGTGTGTGGCCTCAGGAGCCTACCCGTCCGCCACCATCAACTGGGAAAAGACCAAGGAGGGCAGATCCACCCTCCTGGAGGCTACGGTTAGTCCATGTTCCTTAGGCTACGATAAGTTTATGCTCCTTAAGACTACACAGTGATTTTTTCAATGTAACGCCCCTGTATATTTTCTAAGTGTTTATTAAAAGTGAGGTAGACAGACAGACAGACAGACAGACAGACAGACAGACTATTATGCGTCTGTCTGTTGATCTGCCTGTGTTATTATATGGTCATGCATCCATTAACAGCCTGATTATACACAACATCACACACACACAGACACATACACACACACACACACACACACACACACACACACACACACACACACACACACACACACACACACACACACACACACACACACACACACACACACACACACACACACACACACACACACACACACACACACACACACACACACACACACACACACACACATACAAATACCAAACCGCTACAATCTATAAACAAAAGTAATCAGTGTGTGTTATACTTCTCCTCTACAGCTGTTATCACTCAATTCACCCGTAAGTAATCATGTGTAGTACAGTACGAAGAGTTGACGACGAACCACCACCGTCAGTGACCGAGTGCTATTATAACACTCACTCTTTCTCTTTCCCAATTAGATGAGAAAAAAAAATAATGAAATTCCCTATGATAAAAAGCTTTGCAGTCCTCTCTCTCTTTCTCTCTCTCTCTATATATATTTGTTTCTCTTTTTCTCTCTCTACCTTATCAATCGCTCTGTGTTAAATGAAAAAAAGTAAGAAAATATATTGTAAAAGAGAAGAATTACAACAATTAGAAGATTCATTACGAGCCAACACACATATAATGTTTCTGTAACATAAATTACGAATTTTTAATTGCGCTTTGCAACTGAGATTTGGACAGATGATGTATGACCGTGAGGCTGGCAGGAGGAAGAGGGGGAGGGGGGAAGAAAGGTGGGAGGAGGAGACAGAGAAGGGGATTACGGGATAGAGGAAGGAGAATAATGACACGAGCAGGAGGAGGGAGAAGGGGGAAAGAGACAGAAAAAAGGAAATGGCGGGATGAGAGAGAGAGGAAGGTCAGTAGGAGGAGAAGAAGGGAGGGAAATAGAGGGAGATGGAGAGAGAGAAAGAGATAGAAAACAAGAGGAAGGAGAGGGAAGAAGGAGGAAATAAACAGAAGGCATGTGGAGAGAGAGAGAGAGAGGAAAGGCTAGAGGAGGAGGAGGAAGAAGGGCAGGAGAAGGAAGAGGGAGGGCGAGGACAGAAGGAAAGAGGGTGAAGATAGGACGGGGAAGAATGGTAGACAATAATGTACAGGGAGGAGAGGAAGAGGAAAGAGAAGATAAGAGAGTAGAGAGGAGGAAGGAGAGGGAGGCGACGGAAGAAACTGAGAGAACTAAATTGGGAAGAAGAGATACGACCGGGAGACAGAAAATAGGAGAAAGTATGGAAGTATAATTGGAAAATAGGGAAACGTTGTCACTCAGTTGTAATTCGAAAGTTTATTTCTTCTTCGTTGTCTTGGTCGCTCTGCTTATAACTGCTGGTAAATGGGAGAAGGTGATCTGGGTTTTCATACAGTGTTTACTAATTGTTTCTCTGTCCTTAGGTGTGCCCAATAAAATCATTCGACGTTAGCCAAATCTCAAAAGAGGCGTCCCCATAGCGAAGGGATTATATTATAGAATCACGTGTAAGACATCTGTGGAAAAAATCAATCATAAAAAAAAAGGGATTGGTATATTATAATCGCCCTCGCACGCATGTCGACATTTTCTTGTTGGGGGAAATGTAAGTGTGATCCATGTCGGCATTTTGATATTATCTTCTTACCGTATTAAAGAGAAACACACGGGAAAAGAATCTCACCTATTCTCCATGTTGTCTCCATCTTGACTTGTTTCGTTCCTGGTATTGATTTAAGTATGAAAACAAAAATGCACATTCGCACATTCTGTACTCACTTCCCTTCAGTGTAGTGACGCGTTACCTCCACCAGCCTCACCACTCACGCTCAATCGCGGCGTTCACAAGGTGGGACGTGCACCCTCACTTAAAGAAACTAAAGTAACCATAATTCCCCAAGACAAAGTTATCACTAATGGTGGACAAGTTCCTCACCACTGTACTGTACGCCAAAGACCCCTGAAGCTGGACAATCTTGACAGAAACCACAAAGGGCTAAGCTTTTCTGAAATACCAATTTGATGGGTGTTGTGGTTGAATGTGGGTGCGCCAAGTCCGTAGACTTGCTAGTGATAGATTTGCTGTACACCAGGTTTGGATAGAGTCCTTCTGTACTTGGTCAAGTTTTCGTGTTTACAATTCCCAGGCGCGAGGAAAAAGGAGTGTTTTTTTGTCCTTCACCCAAGGTCGATGAGAGACAATCACGAGGGAAATGATTATCGACCTCGTTCAAGGGTCCACATAAGGCAGTACTTTTCCACATGGTGAGACACAGACATAATATTATTCTCGAAATATTACATTACATTCATTACACGGACGAACACAAGATGGAGGCAAAATATTTCCACAACTCTCGTTACGTGACGTTGTACAGTTAAATGACGCGTCTGGTCCATTTTGACATGGTGGTGACGGGATGGATGGATGGATGGTAACTCGCGTTTTCTTTTCCACAGACCACAGAACGCAATATAGACACAGATATATGTAATAAAATTCCATTGTGGAAAATCTCAGTCTACAGCTCCCATAAGAAAAAATTCCTCCCAAAAGAAGTTTATTACCTCCACCCCCGTACGAACACCCACCATCAAAATAATGACGTTGACTAAATCCCTTTCACGTGTTTATCTTTCAAGTGTTAATACCCAGATTAGTTAGGGTAGGTTAACTTAAAGGTTGTCAAGGTAGGTTAGGTTAGGTTAAGTTAGATTAGGTCGGCTTTTGTCTCATATTAGGTGAATTAATTTCCCTTTGCTGTTTAAAACAAGTCGTGTGATTTAAGGTAACTCCAACCAGCTTTAATTCTTATATTAGATCCTTCACTTCCATTCTCACACAGGCAGGCCTATCAACTCTCTGATGAGGAGAAAGAAATGATTGCGAAAACTTGTTATTCATCATACACTTTACACCAGGCGTTGTGCATATGACCCCCCGAAATAATATACAGAATAAAATGTTTGGTTGTGTTGTTGTCAAAGTTTAAAGTTGAAATAAAAGTTTGAGACCAAATCTGTTAAGAAGACAATCCAAAATACTATTTGTTTTACTGTAGTATACGTTAATTTTAACATATAATGTATGGATCCCTTCACTACGGGGACGCCAATTTTAATATTTTATTTGGCTAACGTTAGGTGATTTTATTCAACAGAGTAGATATCCCCATACATAAATGGTTAGGAAACTATCTCCCCTAATCCTAGTTCATACACTTTTTACCTATTTTGAAAACAGGAAAGTTACCAAATTTAAGTTAAAACTTTAATGTAAACTGAATAATTCCTCCCTGCCTCACCACCTGGACTCACTGCGTGGGTTGGTAAGTCTGTGTGTGTACTGGGAGGTGTGTTCACGTATGGCTGTAAACACGACCCAGTGATGACCACCTTCCTGGAGCTGTATAATAAAAAGTGTCATTATTCCCCGGATGCACCCCCTGGCCTGATGTATTTGGAAATGAACACACTAACACGTACACAACAGTCTCGGTTCAGTTGGTATTTCTGATTGTGAGTTGCACCTCTCGTTGTTTCTTCTTGCACCTGATAGTCACCATGATATCTGCAGTATATCACCTATTGTCTACACCATGTCATGAAATAGGATGAATTGTGATGTCATATACAAAACCAATAACGTCATGAGTAACCCCGCTGATTTATGCACCTTAGATACTATTTCAGCCCCAGGGGATGGGTCGCTAAATAGGAAAATAACGTAACTATGTTTTCGTGAACCGAGGTCACAATGGAATCGCTTCGAATGAAATATGAAACACTGTGATCCGTTTTTCCATTCATTTGCAAATATAGTAATTACTGGTGTATTATGATGCCATAACAAATTAAATGAAATTATGATTTACTGCATTTCGATATTATTTCTACCTCAATTGATGAGGTAACAATTATGAATATAACGTATCCTCTCGTGATTCGTGCTGGCAACGGTACATTATCTGACGCACACTACGACACGTTGTCTGTCGGTGTAAGCTGTGTTTTCCACCGAGTCTTGGGTACTAGTGTTGGTCATGGACTTCCAGCAGAAAATACTCACTATTTGACCGCCGCTGATATATTTTCACTACATTAATATCATTATATTATTGTACTAAAGATGAAGCATGATATTTCACCATAATTATAACAAATGCCAGAATTATTAACTGGCAACCTCACAGATACCAGGGAGGCAGGCCTACCGACATAATGCAGGAATCACAATTAGAGATCGGAAATATTCGTCTATTGTGACACATCATATCGATGAGGAAAGGGGCCGATACTTTTTGGGGAGAGTGTCGTTAAGATAAAAAAAAGGTCTTTGTTAATGTGCTAGTTCTATTCTTAGTCACTGGTTGGTACTTTCTGACCTGTATTGTGACTTCTTTTTATTAATCAAGTGAGTCTTTTAACTTTTTTAACATTAGGTGTTGGTCTTCCCTTCGTCCAGTTCTTAGTCGTCGTATTTTACTGTCATATTTGTTATATCTAACATTCAATCACTGACTCTCCCCAAGTACACACCTGCAGTATTGGACGTTACGGTAATCATTTGTGACCGAAGATAAATTCCATTCACTAGTATAATGTGACGCTGATCTTACGACTAAAAGATACTGAGAAATTTCTGTGGTTTATTACATTCAAATCCAGAAAGTTTATTAAGAAATATAGGAACGAATTTATACTCAGGTACTGTAATGTCCAAGTAGTAACAATACAATAAGCCTGTGACCTAAACTCTTGGTCTCCTGATTCTTTGTTCTGTAACTTGAGCAGTGCTGGAGGTCCCGCATTTAATTACAATATAACTGAAATCAGATGTGCCTTTGTGTC